TGAGAATGTTGACTGGTCCGCGAAACGCCTTGGTCGTCAACGTGTTAATATTCTAGTCAAAATCCGTGGTGCCCAATCAGTTACTTACACTCATTCTTGAAGATATGAATTCATTATTGGTGCTATTTTGCAATATTGTTACTTAGTTGTTACTTTTTAAGTTTCAACTCGTCGATTTTTCGCGCAAATTCGCGAAAATTCCGCTACGAAAGGATGTTTCATATTGGCACTTTGTATCTCTTCCTATCATTTACTCTGAGAAATGGAGCTGGAAGTGCATGTGACATTGTTGCTCATGTTTACAACGGAAATAATCAGAAATTTATGTTGGAGCTCGTCCCTTTATGCTTTACACAACTGTATGTGCTGCCCTTCTTGCCAGATTTATTGCCGTAATCTCAATTTTAGTCTTCAGTCTCTGAGACGTGTTATTTATAACTATAGTTAACCTCAGTCTTTAGCTAAATAAGACGGGTAAATATGTTGGTCATATGGCGACATAGATAGAGATTGATCATAATTGTATAATATGATAAAAATTTCATTCTTCTCGTATATTTTCTAATGTTATTCTTCTGGTGTATACCAATATATCTTCGGCGATAGCTTCAATTTAATCGTTAATTTTCTCTTCACAGCGTCAGCCATGGGAGAGAGGAAAGGTCAGAATTTCTATTATCCACCGGATTTCGACTACAAAAAGCACAAAAGCTTGAATCGCTATCATGGAGTCCATGCTTTACGTGAGCGCGCACACAAGATCTCGCAAGGGATTCTTGTCATCAGGTAATTACTATTTTTGGTTTGCCCTTATCAATACCTCTCTACTAGGTTTGAAATGCCGTTTAACATATGGTGCCTTGGTTGCAATAATCATGTTGGAATGGGTGTACGTTATAATGCTGAAAAGAAGAAGATTGGCATGTATTATACGACTCCTCTATACGAGTTTCGTATGAAATGCCATCTCTGCGATAATTATTTTGTAATAAGAACGGATCCTAAGGTGAGCGTAAGCACAGTGGGTCGTAAGTGGTAAAATTTGATTTTTTACAGAATTTCGATTATGAACTGGTGGAAGGATGTACACGACAAGAAAAACGATTCGAGCCATCTGAAATTGATCAAGTGGACACTGCCGATAGTGCCTTCAGTCATAAATTAGCCGCAGATGCCATGTTCAAAACCGAGCATCAAGAAGATGTACTTTATTCGTAACAGCAGTGAAACAGAAAATTATGGTATTGTTTAGGACAAAAGTAAGGCTACCAGTGATGAAGTTCGAATGGAGAAGATTGAATGGGTCCAGGAAAGGCTCCGTGACGATTTTGCTGCAAATCAGGCGCTTCGCGCACAGTTCAGGGTATGGGAACTTTCATCGTTGAACATGATTATAGATATTGTACTGTTTCTAACTCGCTATTATTTCAGAGGGAGAAAAAGGAACTGACTGAGAAAAGAGCCCGAGATGATGATCTTCGTGCGCGATGCTCGTTGAGCATACCGCTGGCTCCAGAGGATCCGAACGATAAAAAAGTAGCTGGCATGCTAACCCGGTATCGCACGGTCAAAAGTAAGACGCCTCAAGTTGTGCGTTTGATAAGAGAAAAAGCAGTTTCAACTTTGTTTTAGCTTATGACGAGCGTATGGAAGAGAAACGGAACGAGATCACTGCAAAGAGAATATTTCAATCCGGTTCCAGTGGTCCATCGACGTCATCTGCTAAATCGGACACTCCTTCATCTATAGAAAGGCTGAAAACTAGCATAAGACGTGATCGTAATCGAAAAATCAACAATAGTGTGAGTATCATTGACCGTTTTATCATTCGTTCGCCATAATAGTCCCTTTTTAACGAGTAAGTTTTCAGTTCGAAGCCGGACCGGCTCCCAAAAAATCGTCACTATCACTCGGAATCGTGCGAAAGAACATAAAATGTGAGGTGGATGAACATGGGGAGGATATTCATGAAGAGGAAGTTGTTAACGCGGAGGTTAAGGATGAGAAGGATGTGAATGGCACAACTGCTACCTCTGGACTTGTGGCTGATTACGATTCGTCAGGATCGGACTGAGTAGATGTTTTTATTGTAAATATGTACACAAATATAACAATGAATGAAACAACAGACAAAATTTGGTAACAATAACAACAATAACAAAACAAAGCTCTCAAATCCTAGTGACTCACAAATTATGTGCATTATTATATGAATGCTATCACATTGGTGTGTCTATATTGGTGTTGTGGGACTGACAGACGACATAAGTACCCTCTGATTCAACCAAATTGGCGGCTGGAAGGCGGGGCTTCGATCGATCAGAGAGCACTTAAAAGTGGGAGATGCAGGCTCTGTTCTCCCGCGCATGTGCTCTTCAATCAATCGAAGCTCCGCCCACCAGCTGCCAATCTGGTTGAATTAGAGAATAAACAAAGGCTTATGCGCAAAGCATTCAGTAGTGTCGGAACTCAGTTCAGCTACGCTCATTGAAAAAACTTGTCAAATTAGTTCCAGCACTCCTACGAATGAAAATGAATCCCAGCTTTGTTGAAAGCAAGAAGAAGAGCTAAAAATTGTTCAATGCTCATTTTTCGTGCCCGCTTGTCAGCAAAACCGGCTTCCGTCAATGTGCTTTCTATCATTTTCTTCATATCGAGATCTTTTGGAACTGGCTGAAATAAAGATTCAGTAGCAGGTTTTGGAAATGAAGCAAGAGACTATAAGACTGAACAGCATACCTTATTCAGCAAACTGCACAGTTTTTGATAATTCTTCTCAATTAGTTCAGCTACATTGTTTTGCTTGAATATAGAAAGTAACGTCTTGTTTTTCCTCAAGAAACACAATCGCAACATTCCTTCCCATTCCTGGAAGTGTGCCAGATATGAAAAAAAAAACAAATAAATAACATGAAAATAATTAACAAATGCAATTTGGAATCAAATAACAAGTAGATAAGAAACATAAAATAAGTATAAGCAGGAAATGTATAAAAATTCGCACATCCGACTTACATCGAAATTGATCGGTGGTGGTGGGTTTTTGGGAGCAATCCGTACGACTGCAGAATCAACTTTCGGTGGAGGGCGAAACTCTGTCCTTTTGATTTTCATGAGATGTTCGACCTGAACAAAGGTTGCTACAGTTACTCGAGCAGAATTCATGCCAAAACAACTTCAGACTTTGCGAAAGACAAACGCCAAACTTTAACAGAAACAATAAAAGGTTATACCGCTAAAATGATAAAAACCGATTCATGGATAGTAATAGGCTAGAGAAACTGAGAATGATGAACCTTGGCGAGAAGCTGCACGTTGACAGATAATCTACAGTAGTCTTTGTCGCCAGGCTTTGCCACTAATCGGTCTGCGAACTCTTTTTGGAACATCAATACAGCATATCTAAAGCAATAGAAGTTTAGATGTATAAGTAAATCCAAAATCAACGAGTTCTGTTAGTGGCATGTTAGTGACGGGACCCTTACTTTTACATGTTTGGCTGATAATTTAAATGTACACAAAGAATTAGAAGGACTACCTGGGAAGCGGTCTTTGCAGCAGCAATTTGAAAACAAATGGAGATGAGATTTGATACGGTAGATTAGCTACGCAAACATCAAAAAATGGCCATTCGTTCTTCATAACATCTCCAGCACGAACTTCCAATTTATTTTGCAGTGGACTGAAATCGAAACTTTCCTTTCTCTAGGCACTTTGACAGGACAATGGAACCAACGTTGCCATGACACGCTTCTTCAACTCGGCGATCATTCGTGGGTCGATTTCACAAGCGACAACTTTTTTGGCACATTCAAGCATCTTCACGGTAAGATTACCAGTTCCGGGGCCTACTTCAAGCACGGTGTCGGTGGATTTCAGCGCCGACTAGGGAAGAAAAATTCACGATCATTCTTTCAAAGAAAATAGGACCTTTATACCTTTTCAATGATAGAGTTCACAATTCCGGGATTTTTCAATATATGCTGCCCTTTGTCGGTATTGAAGGGTAAAGCTGAACCAATGTTTCAATCATCGATAGGACAGTGAATGAAACCCACCTTGAGTATTGAAGGCTGATGTTGGCTTCTTTGTTTTCTTTGCTTTTACCATGACTAAAATTCATACGGTTTGTCACGCTTCAAAGAAGAGTGGAGGCGATGAATACGCAATAAACCTATTTCGTCTTACTGTGGCTCGTGTGTACGTAAGGCAAACCATAGTCATTTAACTTACGGCAGAAAACTTTCTCAAGTTGTTTTACGTTTCAGAAGTAAATTTTGCACCTTCTTTAAATCTAAAAGGTTGTTTGGTGCTGCATATCGTCGAAATAATATGTATTCGCTTTTCAACACGACCCAATAAGAGCGAGAAAAAGACACAGACACATAAATTGCCGCCTCGTCTGAGGAGGCAATTTATGTGTCTGTGTCTTTTTCTCATTTCGCCAGTTGGTGAAATGAGAAAAAGGAAAATTTTGTGATACCATTCCACATTAGTTGACCCAAAAAATGAAAATCGTGGATTTCGCTAAAACTTCG